GGGAAGCCTGCTTCTCCCTCTCCCACTCCCCCTGCTTGTGTTCCCTCTCTCGCTGTATCTCTCTCTGTCAAATAAATAAAATCTTTAAAATAAATAAATAAATAAATAAAAAATAAAATAAAAAACTGTTGGATGTGTTCTTATTACAGTGTTTGAAGACCACTAGGATTGTTATGGTTTCAGTGCTTTAAAGAAACTTATTTTCCAGAGCACAAATATTTGGACACATTTCTTTTTGTTGCTTTCTTTAATGTAGGCAAAATCTTTTGAAATCAATCTTTAGAGAATTTTTGGATTGCACAATTCAAATTTGTGGCTATCTTACCATTCCAGTGGATGTAGCTGTGCCTTTTTATTCAGGAGCTGAAACTGTTCAAATACATTTATAAGAGACCAGCATTGAGTCAGGATTGAACCAGGTCGTCCCACAGGATTTGCCCTATCATAAAATTCACGCATCAAAGATCGAATCCTAGGAGTAGTAGATGGAAAGAGCTGAGAAGAAATATTCAAAACCAGAATATCAGAATAAGTTATGGAAAATAACTGAAAAGGTATCATTACTAGAAAAGGCTTTCTATTTTATTCAGCTATTTCAAAAAATCAGATATTTATTTAAAAACCAATGGTCAGTATCATAATATAATTTTCTGTGCAGTTGTCAAGGTAAATGCCACTTTCTATCAGGAACTAATTTTGTTGATCATATTTCCAAACATGGTGAGTTTTCTTTCTCTTTTCTTTGAATGAAAATGGTTATTTCCTTCCTATCGATAGCTGAGAACAGCTGAATGACAGAGTGACTCAGGCAGTAGGAAGAATGGGGAGAAATCATTTGGGGTTACAAGTGAACTTTGTCAGGGTGAGAGATATTAATCCTATGGAAAAAAATCTATGGTTATCCTCTTTCTACTCTGAGAGTCAGGAAATTGGGGTTTGTCCTTTTTCCTGCAAAATAATTCTTCAGTTTTCACACTGTGCCAAGAGACTTTCTCTACATTCACAATATCTCAAATTATGAATTCCTCAGGAATGAGACCTCTCTCTCTATCTTTGTGGAGTTTTGAGCCAACTGTGACAAATATAATACTATCTTTAAATTAATTAAAATAATCCATCAATTAAATTATTATCTTTGGGGCAAAAGCTTACTTTGAACCCTCTAAAATAGAAGTCTAAATTATAGAAACAAGTGCCAAACATTCATTAATTAACTTAGTAAATTGGTTATAACTCAGACAAGTAGCATGTGAATACATGCTATTTTTTTAAGTAAAAAATAAATGTCTGATCCAAACAGATTAATGATAAATTATCAGTGGACTTTGAAAAATGCTGTTTTAACAAGGTATTTTGTATAAGCAAATCTTAAGTGGAAAAATAGAAATCTATTATAGTCCATCTAGATAAGTGGCAGAACTAGAAACAAAGCAAGTACTGAACATACACACATACATGTAATAAATTATATTGACAGTGACCTTCCATATTGACCAATAAATTCAGAGAACCCAAGAAAATACAGAGAAGGGAAAACAAATGTCAGGTTTTTTGTTTTTTTGTTTTTTTGCCTAGTTATCATAATTATTTACGTTTTCTTTCTTTGAAGCTTGCTATAGAGTTGCAACAAATTTAGATTTAGGCTGTTTTCTAAAATGTGGTTACATTCAGTAATATTTGATTTTACACAAACAAAAAGGGCATGATGAGCAGAAAGAAAGTTTTGTTCCACGCACATGTCTCAAAGTTAAAAGCTAAACTTCTCTTGTAAAATGTGGACATTTTCCCTCTCAGAACAGTCATATACTGGCAGCTATGCTGATCTTTTATCCTTTTACCTTGAATAAGTCATGTATTATTTGCAAACTCTTAAAAATATGGGTTCTGCTCATTTTAATATTTAGATGTCTGAAAAGAAGAAAAAAGCTTACAAAGATTTCTCTTTCTTAAAGAAAAATCTTCACCTAGTTTGAAGCAAAAATCAAATAGTTTATGGCTGATTTATAAGCTCAGTAATCATGAGGAATCAAATGTCACTTTTGTTTTACCAGTTTGAATTGCCCCAAGTTCCCAAGTTCCTTTGTGAAAGTCATAATTGAGTTGATCTCCTCTAAAGACAGGCATTGGTTTTGTTCCTTCTGATAGTTTTCACCCTATAATGAGGGGAGGGGAACAATTCTTAAGCAATTGTTACAAAATCAAATCATGTTTAGTCCAATTGCCCCCCACTTTATAAACCAATCAAAGTTTGAACTCAATAAACAGCTGAGCTAATTAATGCCAAATCACGCATAGTAACTTCAGCTTGTCACAACAGTGTCTGGCTCTAAGAAAATTTCATACTTGACAAAGAGGACCTGAATGGAATTGCTCAGTAGGGCGTTGGTGGTAAGGTTGGGGAGATGAGCCCAGGTAGACTGTGTGTGACAATTTGGGAATGCAGGAAGCATCTCCTTCAGCCTTCAGGGTACCAGAGATCAGAGGAGCAGGTGAACATGGGAATTTCATCTATGGGACATTAAAATTTTGGAGTTTGTGGATTCTAATAAACAGTCCCCCTGCCCCATTTTTCCTCACATCCATTTTTTTCTGAGGCATTCTTGAGAGGAGAAGTTGCACATATCTACCACTACTTCTGGATCAAGTGGTTCTAACGGTTTTAATGATAGTCCACTCACTAATGAAGGAAAACAGGGAACTAGATGAAAAAATTAATAAAATCCAGAGGAAACAGCAGTCTATAAAGTCATGTTCTATTTCTCACAAACAACTCTCCATAGAGCATCAAAGTTCGTTTGTGAGAACTTTCACATCCCACTCTCCCAAATTCTCCAAATACAGGTTTTAAAACAGAAAGGTACATAGAGAATAATACTGTACGTAATAATCTGTACAGATTTTGATGCATCAAAAAAACTTGTTTAACACGCCATAAAAATTAACCAATGCTACTATGAAGCACTACACCCTCATCAGCAGCAGCTAAGCAAAGATGTGAACCAGATGTGAATTCTTTAAAAATTAGTATTCTAACTCCTGTCCCTTGATGTCAATCTAGAACACTCACTGCTCTTCTAGACTGCCTCCAAAAAATTCTACTATTTCTTTTAAAGTATTCTAAATAACATCTAATATGTATTATTCATAATATCCACAAACATTCCTTAGGAGTTAGGAACTTCTTTATTTTAACCCATCACTGCATCACAATCAGTTACTCATACTTAGTTGACATAAAATAGTCTTGGTCTTCAGGTCAGAAAAATATAAAAAGGTGTAATATAATGGATACCAATTCATTTCAAATGCATTATCAATTTGCTTAGCTACACAATAAAGAAAATGGCACCTTTCAAAGAATGACTTGAAAAAAAAATTTGTCACTTAAAAAATACACACTTACCTTAAAAACACCTGATCTATAAAGTCCCTGAAATATCTCAGAAAACATTGGAAGTGAAGATTCATTAGAGAAGAGAAAATTGAAAGTATCTTGTAAAAGGAATTCTTCTGTGTTTTGGTCCTCAAAATCCATATTATCATCATCTTGAAAATTTAAATGTTCATGCACCTGTGAAAGAGTAAAAGCACAGTAAATATTTTTCGTTGACTTTTAATGCAGTGAAATCAGTTCTAAGACATGATTCATTCTTGTTGGATTGTAGATCAGAACTGACATCTAGTGGCCTTTTTGGAGGTCAACAGCTTTATAAAATACAAGTAATGTTCTTTTGAAGATACAGTTTTTTAAATGAAAAGTAATGGATTATAAAGTCACAGTAATTTATCTTGAAACTCTTTACTGTTGAAGAATTTTCATTCAGGAAAGATAACATATGACATTTCCGAACAATAAATTTTATTTTTATTTTATTTATTTTATTTTATTTTTTACTATTTTTAGATTGTATTTATATTCAAGTCAGTTAACATATATGGTGCTGGGAAAACCAGACAGTAACATGCAGAAGAATGAAACTGGACCATTTTCTTATACCATACACAAAAATAAATTCAAAATGGTGAAAGACCTAAGTGTGAGACAGGAATCCATCAAAATCCTAGAGAACACAGGCAGCAACATCTTTGACCTTGGCTGCAACAATATATTTCAAAGAGCATAATACAAACTGAGATGTGTGCAAGATAATGAATAAATGATTAAAGATGTAGATTTATGAAGTTTCATAATTTTATGGATAAATCTTTGAGCTATTCAACTAAATGTCTGAGCCATATATAATTGTAATCATTCACCTGTACAACAGTTTGAAAAGCAGTCAATGCAATATGAAGTTGAATTCTGGTTGCACATAATTTTATTTTGTTCCTTTCCCTTCTTCCTACTCCATATCTCAAAATAAAGCTTTCTGTAGATTTATTCAATCAACTGCTTTTTAATCTTGCCACTAAGGGATATTTTAGATGAAAGATAAAGTTCACTTGATTCAAAAGGAAGTAAAAGAATCAGAGTATACAAAAGCACTCTTCAATTTACACAAATTTATACTAGAAAAAACCCATATATTTAAAAAATTCCTATGGCTTTTTAAGGCCAATTTAAAACTAAGTATCTGTATGTAAAGTATGAGTTACATTTTTATAAACCCAAGTGAATAAGCTGGGTAATCTTCTATTTGCTATTATCTACATGTTTTCCACTTTATTTCATAAACAGTGGTGATTAATCCATAGGAAAATCCATGCCTGTTCTATAGTGATTCATAGTGGGGATTGGAACCCAAATCATAGATTCTCCACATATTAGGTAATTTTCTGAACTACAGTAAAATATAAGCCTGTAGTGACTTTAATACAAGTTGCTATTTATTGACTGGTTCCTATGAATGCAGACAACCCACCCATACACATATATACACCCCCCCCCCAGATCATTCAGTGTAAGGTGGAAGCTCACAAGAAGCCTTCAGGATATTCACCTGGAGCACTACGGGGTACCCAAAACTGTAGTAACCAATATCAAAAGTGAAAAGTTGAAAACATAATCTGCATCTGAAATAAAAACACAAGGTAATATAAAAATATATTCTATTTGCTACATTTACTCTATCTTCTGATACATTATTAACAGTTACTAGAGTTAATTTCAAGGTCTGTACTAAGCAAAAAGAGCAGTGACTTGGAAATTACATGCAATTTATTTTTAAATTGGAATATGTTTTGTTCTTCATAAAAATTACAAATATATCTAGAATATTCATAACACATTAAACAATGAAGTTACTTCATGAAAACCTAAATACAGAGAAGGAAACTCTGCTAGTCCTTACTGCTAGGCATTCTTATTCACATATGGAACATGATAAAGCTTACTTTTGAGTCATCTCCTTTTTGTTGACATTCTAAATTTAACATTTCCCCAGAAAAAGGGCATGAAATTATATTCAAGTAAACTGAAGTATAGAGATAGTAGCTATTGAATATTGTTAATAAGGTCCATAAGTAAAATTATACCTAAGTCAATGCAAAGTTCATATGATAAAAATAGCTAAGCTTAAAAAAGAGATGCAATTAAAATTAATTTAAACAATGTGTGCTTTATTTCTTGTCACTATTATTTGGATGCTAACAAGTCTGTAACATGCACTGAAGTTTTAGGATCTATAAATATGAAAAGACGTTACAAGTTCATATTTATATACTGACATAACATTTTCCAAGTACCACCTACTTGTGATAATTAAGATATATTTTCACACTTGTGATAATTAAAAATACTTTCACTAGTAATTTTTAGAAGGTTTTTTCTTCTTTTTTTTAATATTAGCATCGGTTTTTACCTATTGAAGGCCTTTGGTCCCAGAGTAGATGGTTCGCTGAATAATTCAGCTGCTAGCAAGAGTTTGCTAATTGCTTCTTTCATATTATCAAAAGCCTGAAGAGGTGAACTGGCTGTCAGGAATGTCTCAAAAAATGTTTGCAGCTGTGAACAAAGTAAAGGATTCAATATTGAAACAATAATCTGTTTGTCTATCATTTCCAAGGTGACCAGTTTGAAAGATTCTGTTGGGTTATGTGTCTTTGCCACATTCAAAAAAACTCCTTAAATAGGAAAGTTTGATAATCTCTATATAATCTCTATATATAGTTCGTGTATATACACACATATATATATCTTATATATAATATACTGAAAGAATATATAATGTACTAAAAATATATAATAAATGTATACATAATACGTAATGTGTATATATTATATATATAATATGCAATATGTATATATTATATACCTTTAAAAATATATTATAAGCCTTTCAATTGAATATGGGATGCCACTACAGCTTGTAATTTAAATTACTTTAAGAGTTTTTTACTCCTCCTCCCCCTGCTTTTTTTTTTTTCATTTCATGGCATCTAATCATGGAAAGTGAAGTGGAGCTATTTACAAGAGCTTGTGATCAGAACGTCCAGGTTTAATTTGTGACTCTACTAGGTGAACTCAGACTGGTAACCCACTTTGAGTTTTTGTGTCCTTCTCTTTAAAATGGGTGAATACCACCAACAAGAGGTCTGTAAACCCAAATCAGAAGAAAATGTATTTGAAAGCCACTGTAAGGTATGAAATTCAGATCTAAACTTTTTAGCACTTTTCTGAATATATCAGAACAAAAATAAATGGATGAACGTTGCTTCTTCACAGCATTTTGCTGTGGGAGATCTAGCCAACTAATGAAGAATCTGAGAGAATCTCAGTGTCCTCTTAACATTTTAGTTTAATGTGTCCTGTGGATAGAAAAGATGGGGCACTATTACAAAAGGGGAATAAAGCTCAGGTTTATATTTTCTTAGAAACACAATTATTGATACCATAAACAGCTGTTTTTATTTGCTTGAATATTAAAATAATCACAACAAGACTACTGCTTGAGGATGCTTAACATCAAAGTCCAAGTTAAAGTTTTTAAAAAGCATAAAATAAATCTCATATTAAGTCATAGACTTTCTTGGATAAACATAATCTTTCAAGGATGAAGAACAAAAAATATTTTTTGAAAAAACATGCAGCAGGTATTCTATTAATGTTTTTGGAAGGACAGGCTAGATCCATCTGAATTGCATAAGACTACAAAGTGAAAAACTTTTGTTGCTATGATAATTAAGGACAGATATTGGCACAAGTGACCTAAGGGAAATGGTAAGTGTATCTTTAAAATACCAAGCAAAATTCCCCAAGAGAAACAAATACTGACTTCATAAAATTTACCAGCTGAAAAACAGAAACCTAATGAGATGTACATTTTAAGACTATGAACACATCATTAGCATTTGGCAATTGGGATGTTTTTCCATTTCACTAAGGAAAATAAGTGTAATAATTGTATGATCAAAAGAAAACAAATTAATGCTAACACTAAAAATGTTAACACCCTTGAGTCAAAACAGAGTAATATTGTTTTTCCAAATAAAAATAACTCGTATTTCACTCTGTTCACCATATTATGTAGAAGGGTCATTGATAATATTATTCCCTTTTCTGTTTTAATGTTTCCTGACTATCACAAAGATCAAGGTTAATAATTTAAGAAAGTTGGAAATGTTTGTGTAGCATATGAGATGCAGAAGATTGATGATCAGATGGTATCTTCCATGGCAAGAAATAATTAGCAAATTAATGTCTCAGGGTAATAATTGATTCTCCCACTGCGAAACCGATTATTTCTAAATTTCTGACTGTGACAGTGAGCGTTGAATATGGGCTGCTAGTACATGGATTCAGTTCCATTCAATTCGATTGTTTTAGTGAAAATTTTACGACGTGGAAAGTACCGTGCTGAGTGTTGGGGGACATGTATACAGCACAGTGGTAACACTAGAGACATTACACGCAACAAATCCTTGGTTTACCTTTGGCTCTACGCTGTTACTATTAAATTGTGAGAACTTCTGGGATTAACAACAATATCTATCTTGCAGAGGTATGGCTAGGATTAAATGAGAGAATGTATGTGAGGTACACCACCACCCCGCACATGTCAATATTCAGCACATGTTCGCTCCTTTTATTAATTAAAACAAGAAAGTCCATGGCCATTTAAGGAAATTTCAATGAACGGACGTGGTTGTTGAACCCAGATTCTCATAATGCAGTGCATTGGTGGAAAATCAAAACTGCCTCTGGGAATTCAAACACTTGTGACACCAACCAAAAAAGAACGTTTTACAAATAACTGACAAACCTTTCAAGAGAAATAAAGAGGTATGGCAGTTGAAGGGCCCCCTCCAGTGGTCAGCCTCCCAAGAGAAGCGAAAGAACAGAACTGAAAGACCCAATAACTGTCTATCTTCCCGTTTCCCTAACACCTCAGTCAGCCACGAGAAAGACTAACATCAACTACCCACCATGAAAGCAGGGGATCAGAACTGCCTTTACGAACAGAGGTGGGAGGAGAGGAGAGAGAAGTAGCACTCCAAAAGCATGACTCAAAATTGAGCAACTTGTTTTATTTTGGGGTTAGTTTTGTCCCCAGGTTTTGTCTCTGTATGCATTCCCTTCTATCTCATTGCATAAATTTATTTATGGAAGCCCTTCAGTTCTTTTTTTTTTTTTTTCAAATTTATTCATTTGAGACAGAGAGATACAGAGAGAGAGAGAGAGTAGGAGCAGTGGGGAGAGGCAGAGGGAGAGGGAGAAGCAGACTCCCCGCCGAGCGGGGAGCCCAATGCGGGGCTCGATCCCAGGACCTGGAGATCATGACCTGAGCCAAAGGCAGATGCTTAACGACTGAGCCACCCAGGCGCCCCGGAAGCCCTTTAGTTCAAAGGAAATTCTAGATGAGTGACCTATTTCATCTATTTAGTATAGTGGCAAGCAGGCTACATATACCAGAAATGAAAATAGAATCATGCAAGTGCTTAAGAGTTATTTTTTTTTAAAAGATCATCTTTCAATGAGTGACCCAGAGAGGGCACAATACTTCCTACATCAATCCACTTAGGCTAAGTGGAAGACTTCTTTGTGTGTCTGGTCCTGTTGTAATTTGTTACACTTAACTGTATTTCCTTGGTCACTTTACTTGAATTCTGTGCATCTTGGTGTGTTCAAATGTAAAAAGAGAATTGAACTCAATGGTCTCATTAGACAATGTCAAATCTGAAATTATTTGATATTAATACCACTCACAGCCATCAGAACCTGAAAAACACATCTTACCCAGGGGCTTTCTTAACTCAAGAACAAATCCTCAAAGGAGCACTTTCCCCTTCATTGCTAGTTTGAAACAATGAAGCCATAAACTCAAATATCAAGGAGACTTCTTCCCTCTCTAGACCAAGACTTTTTTAGATTTTAAAGATTTTATTTATTTATTTGACACAGAGAGAGACAGCGAGAGAGGGAACACAAGCAGGGCGTGGGCAGAGAGAGGAGCAGACTCTCCACTGAGCAGGGGGAGCCCGATGTGGGACTCGATCCCAGGGCCCTGGGATCATGACCTGAGCCGAAGGCAGAAGCTTAACGACTGAGCCACCCAAGCGCCCCTAGACCAAGACTTTTAATGGATGTTTTTCAATTACATGAATGTGAGAACATAAGCTCCTGAGGAAATCAGTGCCTTGGCAGCAAAGTAAAAATAAATAAAAGAGCATCTTAAAGTGTTTAACATGACATGAAACCATTTTATAAACTATACGTTTCCTCCTTAGTGTCAAAATGAAATACAAATTTAGTGCAAAGTAAATTATATAGGAAATGACCTTGTAAGATTATGGTTGTAAAACCAGGCAGTTGATGGGGCACCTGGGTGGCTCAGTTGGTTGAGCGACCGCCTTTGCCTCAGGTCATAATCCTGGAGTCCCAGGATCCAGCCCCGCATCGGGCTCCCTGCTCAGCAGGTATCTGCTTCTCCCTCTGACCCTCCCTCCCCCATGCTCTCTCTCTCTCTCAAATAAATACAGATCTTATAAAAAACAATAAAAGATTTAAAAAAAGAGAAAATGTTAGTTAAAAAAAAAAAACAAGGCAGTTGAAACACCACCATTTGTTCATACTGTGTAAGATTCAAGCAATAACCTGGTAAGGCATTTATGATTTTTACACCTATCCAATCAAGTGTTTTATTTAAATATACAGATGGATCGAAATTATCAATTAAAAATGGATGGACACAAGGAACTGAAAATCAACTTGAAAATATTTGTAGGAAAACTTCCATCACATCTTTGATATCTTAAAATACTTCTCAGGAGCCCTTCTATTCACCTCCTCCCCCAACCCATCTCTTATAGCCCTTCTCATGCCAATTCTGGGCTTCACCTGATTAATTCCCTTTATCTTCCCATAAGACCTTGGGCAGATTGCTCTCAGTTGTATTCTCACATGTCATTCTGTGTCAAACTTGCCGACTTTCTTGTCTCTTCTTACCACTAGACTGTGAGATCTTTCAGGGCAGAAACTGTACCATTTTATCTTTGGGTGGCTAGTACCCACCACAGACTAGGGACTAAGCTAAGTATAACATTACAGAAACCACAGAGACTTTGATAAGAGAAATAATTTACTGGAGCCTCTGGATAAAATAATTTTTCTCCTTAGAACATGTTTATCTCTTGTTTCCATCTCATGAGAGAGGGAGGATATGCATTTTTTTGGTGACTTGTAATAAAACCTTTGAAAAATAGAAGCTTACAGCTGTTCAAAAGGACTTTTGAGATAAGAAAATTTAATCTAAGAGTTAAGACAAAGGATGACAGAATAACCAATATTAGAGTTTGTTGTTGTTGTTGTTTTTTTAAGTCATGTTCTTGACTAACTGGGAAACTTCAGAATACTGCCATTTTAGTATCTTGAACTTTGAGTAGTGTTTAATAGCATTGTGCCTTATTGAAGTTTCCTAGAATTTCTCTCAAATTATTGTGTGAGAGAGAAATTTTTATCTTCTCAGTATAAAGAAGAATATGAGTACTTAAAATCATTTTACACCA